AAAATAGGTTCTTGATTAAGAAGCCTATCCCAGCTGTCATAGGGCGAGAGGCAGGGTACACCCTACACATAGGGACAGACAACCATTCACACTCAGATTCACTCGCACATTCACACCTAGTGGCAATTTGTATTATCCAATTAACCTATCCCCACAAGCTGCATGTCTTTGGATGGTGGGAGGAAGCCAGAGTACCCGGAGAGAACCCACGCAAACACGGGGAGAACATGCAAACTCCACACAGAAAGACCCCGGCCTGATGGTGGAATTGAACTCAGGACCTTCTTGCTGTGCGGCAACAGTGCTAACCACCGTGCCACCGTGCTGCCAAAAAAAATCAAACATTAATTTCCTAAAGATGTCCTTTCCATATATTACATGTATTTGACCATATAAATGGTGAAGGTCAGCTTTCTTTGTCTGGTGAGCTATTGTTAATCAGAGGAGTCATCCTTCATGGAGCCAGAGGAATAAAGAATTCATATTAGGGATTTTCTTTGGAAAAAGGAAATGCCTCATTATAAAATCCCAGTCTTTGGAAGAAAAAAAAAGTTATTACACAAATAGTTAACGGCAATATTTTAAGAGTTTTCTTATGCTCTAAATATGTGTGTGAAGTGCAGCGAGGAAAAAAGTACAAAAAAACAATTTCTTACTTTTGTTCATGTTTGTCACGTTTAAATGTTTCAGATCATCAAATAACTTTTACTGTCCGTCATAGATAACCTGAGTAAATGCAAGATGCTGTTTTTAAATGATGATTTCATTTAAGGAAAAAACACAACAAAAAACTACCCAAACCTACGTGATGCTGTGTCAAAACACCTGAATCTTTCACATCACTGTGGAGGAATTTTGGCCAAATCTTCACTGGAGATTTCTTTTAATTTAGCCACACTGAACAGCCTCTTTAAGGTGATGTCAAAGTATCTCAGTTTGATTTAAGTACAGACTTTGACTGGACCACTCTAAAGCCTGGTTGATTTGTTTTTTTTAATCACTCTGAGGTGGACTTTATTATTTTATAGTTGATTGAAATCTGTTAATTAGAGTCCTTTGACAACTTGCTGGTGTGTTTTTTATCATTGTCCTGCTGCATAAGCCAAGTGTGCTTGAGCTTCATGACACAAACTAATAGTCGGACATTCTCCTTCAGGCAGAGAGCAGAATTCACGGTTCCATCAATTACAGTAAGTCAACCAAGCAGCACAGAAGCCTCAGACCATCACGCTACTGCCACCGTGTTCGACTGTTATTATGATGTTCCTTTTCTGAAATGCTTTTAGTTTTACTCCAGATTTAACTGGAGTCAAAACTTCCAAAAAGTTGAACTTAAGTCTCATCAGTCCTCACAATATTTCCCCCAACATCTTGAGGAATCATCAAGATGTTTTTTTCAAATGTGAGACGAGCGTTTGGGTTCTTTTTGGTGAGCAGTGGTTTTTCTCCTTGACGCCATTTGTGCCCAGTCTCTTCCTTACTGTTGTATAATTCTGACTCTGAGGAAAGTGAGGCTTGCAGTTCTTTCGATGTTGTTCTGGGTTTTTTGTGCCCTCCTGGATGAGTTGAAGTAATTTTATTAGGTTAGTAGGTTCACCATCGTTCCGGCTATTCTCCATTGGTGGATAATTTCTCTCACTGTGGCTCACTAAAGTCCCAAAACCTTAAAATTGGCTTTGTAACCTTTTCCAGACTGATAGACTTTGTTTCCCAGCTGTTTCTTTGGATGTCTTGTGAGATTTTTTTTAGTTTTGAAGAGCTTTTAGCCTGCTTCAGTTTGTCACACAGGTTCTTTTCAAGTGATTTCTTGATTCAGCAGGTCTGACAGTAATCAGGCCTGCGTGACAGTTGAACTCACCTTTCCCAAAAAAATCACACGCCGTTGATCACACAGGGACAGGTGCTTTTGGATTGCTTTTTTCTATTTACTCAGGTTTTCTTTGACTAATATTAAAATGTATTTGATGATCTGAAACATGTAAGTGTGACAGAAATCTAAGCAACTGTATAAGCCCAGTAACTGGAAAGCTGTGTGACTCAAACTATGTTTAATGAAGAGTTTGCAGGTACTCTGCCGCACTTATTGCTCACTTTGGACATTTAGAAGCTACAATAATTATTGCATTATTATGTAAGAGATACCTTTTATTTTGTCAAACAACTGGCAGCCTGTGTAGCTTTGGGGAGACTACCTGATGTTTTAAAAAGTAAGAGGAAGTAGTTAGCAGGAAATCTTAAAACTTACAATGGTTTAAAACTTACTGGAAGCTATTTTCCCCCACTTTCCTGGTCTTGAGTGTAATAATACACACTATTAAATATATTAAAAAACCCTGTAACAACATTTAGAAATGTGAATATGTGGAGTCTCCTTACTACTTAACAAATTACAAGCTATTGCCTTTCAGAGCTAAACGTTCAAATTGATTTATGGGCCTGGATTTTTCTCGGGGCTTAACAATATCTCAGGGAAAGAATTAGAATAACACAGTTAGTGAAGCTTTATGTCTCGGCATTAAAATACTCCAACTGGTACCAACTACCAGCAATTTTCAGTATCTGTCTGCAGTCTCAAAACTGTCATGTGGGTATACAACTATCTGTATCGTCACACGTGAGTGTGTTTGGCTATGTTGTGTATTCACATTTGTGTGTAGTCATCGCCATGGTTATGCAATCATTGGGACATCAGCTGTGAATCAGACTATTTTTTTCTACCCTCGTAACCGATGATCCCATGTGGATGAGAGTTTAAAAACATGTTGCTGTGCGTTACATCTGGGAACAGTTTCAAAAGTCTGCTGTTCTCTACGGTTTCAGTCTGCATTTTGATCACTTCTGTCTAATAGCTCTTGTACTCTCTGCCTTTGTGTTTTCTCCAATCATCAAAGCCTTTTCTCTGCCATCACGTTCTCAGGTTCTTCTGCCAGTGGCGTAAAACACATTTTATTTTAAAAGCATCAGTTTCGTAAGCCTTAATGACTCCCAGTATCTTACCACATTAATCAAAATAACTGCATCTGCAGATATTTCTAAAGAGTTAGTAACTTTCAAACATAACATATGAGCTTATGGCCCTCCAATAATATACTGCTGCTGAGTTCAGATTTGACAGGGCACTCGTCTTATCTGACATGTGGTGCCTTCTTGCCCTGCTTGCAGCGCACTATATGCATCTATACACAGTGTAAACACACAGGCAGCAGGGCTTATTTGATTTGTGGCACTTAAGCAAAGGGCATTCAGAAAACAATGGCTGCAGCTTGACGTCAGAACCGAACTTATATGTGCTATAAACAGGGCAGCAGGGTGAAGCGGTCTAAATGTTAGATAGCACATTAATGAGCCCTTGTTCCTGCTCTTGGCTGTTGTCCTGTGGCAGGCTGGTAAATCTGTGTAGCAGTTTAACATAATGTTGCTGATGTTACCTTGTATTTCAGAGATTTACTGTCAGCACTAATGTTTATGTGTTTCGGTTTTTGTCAGTGGACTTTCAATGTTCTCAAATCACATGCACTCGCACTCACACACGCACATGCACTACTAAGCATTCATTGGACACTACGTGACTACATGATTCCACAGGAACTATGAGGGTAAGCAGCAGCCAGTCGGTGCTAATCAAATACACTTGATTCGGTGATCATTAGCAAGTGTGAGCACCTCTATGAGAGCAGATGTTTTGGCAATGGTGCAATCTTCCCAGGACTGAGTGTTTCAACAAATTCGCCCAAAGGTCAGACTGTGCAATGTTCAGAGATATTGCAAAAAACCCAAGAGCTACAATTCAGACTGCAGTCCTCAGCATATTAAATGTTAAAGTTCATGACAGCACAACCAGAAAAAGACTGAACAAAGTATGGCTTATTTGGAAAGGGTGCCAGGAGTCCCTCTAAAGAGACCATGGCAGCACAGCTTAGGTTTGCAAAGCTGTATTTGAACAAACTACAAGACTTCTGGAAGAATGTTCTTTGGACAGACAAAACCAAAGTGGAGATGTTTGACTATAATGCCCAACATCACAGTAGGTGAACACCAAGCTGAAGATTCTGATTCTATATTAAAACCACAATTAAGCACGAGCTTAATATAGTGGGTAACTGGCAGTGCAGTTTCGTCATTAGGATCGCTGATGACCTGTGCAGTTATTTCAAATGATTCCCCAGGCTATATAAGTCCCACGCTAATATTGCATAACATGCCATAATTAATGCATTATACAGTTTAAAAATAAATCTGAACAAAGCAGAAGTGGTGCCAAAACGACAGAACAAAGTTTTGTGGAAAATAGTTATAAAAGTGACATCAATTAGGAAGCAAAAATATGAAACTGTTCGCAGTACTGCTGTAGCTAATGACATGACAGCTCACAGTTGCTAGTACAGTATTTTGAGAAGCGACCGCAACAATAGTGCTTGGTTCATGAACCATTGCACAGTCTTTTTTACCAGCCAGTCTGTAAGTTTTAATAACATAGAGTGTCAGATCCACATCATCGAAACATGACAAATCAGTTTCGGATCAGCAGGGAGCGTGGGAATACTGTCGCTCGGTTTAATGTTCACCTGCTGAGGATAGGAGCAGCTCTCAGTGTGTCATGAGAAAAGAAGCTGGACCTCTTTGATAGAGAATGCAGGACGGAGAACGAGGGATTAGAAATGGCTCAATGTATTCGTCAAAGCAGAGCTCTGAGTTTTTAAAAAGCTCCTGGTGAAATAGAGAAGGTAGTGGGCCAGAAAAAGCAGCGTGTACCCAATCACTATGATGGATTACATACCAAATTGCTGATGCTAAGGTTATTACTAGCTAAACCACAGAAGGGTTTAAATGCCGGTGCGCTCCTAAGAGTAACAGCAGTAGAATAAGTAATGTACTTCTGAGCTATGATAGGAAGGAGGGAGGCCATCTGTGTTATGTATTTTAATATTTTCATGCTTATAACTAAGAGTCATGACTTTCTCCTCCTCTTTTACATTTCCTTCTCCTGTCTTTCTCCTCAGTGAGTACCACCTCTTCACCCTCTGCACAGAGACAAAGTCCCAGATCGTCGACTGCTACTGGCCCAATCCGCTGGTGGAGCGCTACATCATCCACATACACAAGCACTTTTTTTCCAACTGCACCATAGACCAGCCGGTGTGGTTGGATCCCCCGGACGACACCCTCACCATCCTCATCCTCATCCCCGTTTTCCTCACCTTGGCCATGATTGGCCTGGTGGTCTGGTGCAGCAAGCGGAGTGACATCCTGGCTTAGGTCACGACTATGGAAGAGATGGGAGTAATGGACTGAATTTAACGTCCCAGTCTCTTCACTAAGTAAATACTGTACACAACGCAGGAGCGCACAGAGGACTGTTTCTGTTCGTCAAATTATCCTGCAAGTGGCACTGCAAACCACCTCAACTTGTTGTAGAAATGAAGGAACCAATGGTAGAGCAAAGTAGTGTTTTCTTTAATATTTTTGTAGATTATATGTACTTTTCCCACATTTTGGATCGTCTATTATTCAACTGTTCAATGTTGAATGTGTCCATATCAAGTAGAAGCTGAAGGGGATGCGTTTTATTGCTTTCTTCCAGAGAACGATAATACCGCTCTCATGTCTGCGTGGTGAGTACAGGTGGATGCTGGTTACCTTAGTGTAGCTCAAACATGGATGAAAACAAAATCCAGTTGTGATTAATACATAACACCATATCATTCAGTTAAACCTAATAAAACCACAACTTTGACACTGGAGTTTGCCTGGATTAAGGAAGTGTGTGAGGTAGTGAGTGATGCATGGCCTTGTAAGTAGAGTTCTTGTGCGGATCCGTGTGGAGTGTTTCCTGTATTTATGCTAAGCTAACCAGTAGATGGCTGTAACTTTTTTATTCTAAGACAACACATCTGATTCTTGACAAGAACGTAAATAAGCATTTCCCAAAAAGGTTGAACTGTTCCTCTGAGATGCAGAGGATTTTGTTTGTTTATTTGTCATGGGGTAATTTGACCAGCGGGAAAAATGACCAAATCTTGGATGCATTCTTAAACCTCATGGATACAGAATTTTGATCTTGTTACAGCACTGTATCACTTTCGAAGGCCAAAGCACTCAACAAGCATCAAAGTCAGTGATTGACCTCTGAACTGGTGGGACGTACGACTCCCCAAGGACATTGCTGTTAAATATATTAACATGATACTGTGTGATTTGTTGGAAGAGGTAAAAAGGAAAAAGGCCAGACTGTCATTTCAAGAGATACAAAGTTTATGCTTGTTGATGACTATCTGAATGGACTTTAACCACTGGAAAGGATACACTGCCCAAAGAGAAGGTGACACTGTGGGACTTGATTTTCTTGTGTGTGTAGCTGAGCCCCAAAAGACTGTTTTAAAACAGTGTAACTTATCAGATACTGTTGACTAAAATACAGCTGTTATTCACAAACAGGGGTTCTCAAGCTATGGACTGACGCTGAGACCTCTTATTGTATAGTCATGCTCTCTGCCTGTGCTCTCTACTGTATGTGCATCTCCTCTCCATCGTTGCTCAACTCTGGTGAACATACACCACGATGCGTCGAACTGAATTCTTTTCGATAGGGGTTTAATTTAATGTACCTGCTTCATCTGCCTATTTTTGGACAGTCCTCACCAGCCTCGAGTCAAACCGAGCAAAACGCTGCTTGTTTTATTTGTCTTTAAAGCGGCATCTCTTTGCCAGCACCTACACACTGTGTCTCACTGAAGCTGTTGTCTGTGGAAACAAAAACTTCCCTTCATTAAATTTCAAATTTCTCTTGAAAAAACTGGTTCATCATTTATTGTGTGATCTTTTTAAAAAACATTTGTGATGGAACAGGTGAACTTATGTTGCTTTCGGTTTATTGACTGCTAAAAAAGCCTGTCTTTGAAGTCTTTATTTCCTAAATATATGATGTGCAAAGTGTAGGCATATTTAATGATTTTAACACAACAAAACCCAGTGCAAACATTTAAGTCGATTTCTAAGAAGCCTCAGCCTCACGACTAAATCTTCCCTCTTTAGTTTGCCTCTAAATGTTTCTTTTAATTGACTGTTTTAACAATCTTTATCCCTTTACCTTCACACGCTCTCACTGTCAATGATCCCATGGTCCACATACATTTTCTCCTGTGAAATAAATCCATCTTTAGTTGTATCAGTCTGAGCAGAGGCTGCTCCGCCCGTCTGTGTGGCGCCAGATTCCAAATAAAACCTGCCTTCGTTATTTAATGCGTCTTTTTAAAAATATATATTTGTGTCATCTATGATCTGAAAGGTGTCTGAATGTGTGTATGCAGTTTCAAATAATGAGCTCAGCATACGTACAAGTAATGGCTGTGAGTCCAAAGCTCAGGTTTCAGACTTTCTGACACAGCTTCTGGCAATTCTTTCTACTCTCTGCTCTGTAGGGTGACAGAGACAAATAATCTAAGTGAAAAAATAGTGTAGCTATAAGAAGACAACTGCCTGCTGATTATATCTACGCTCTCTGAGAAGCAGCCAATCAGAAGAAAATTGACTTTAAATGACTGGAGGATGAACTGAGAGGCTGCACCAAGGCACGCCATAAGAAAAATAAGGAGAATTTTGAACTGCGAATCATGCAATTTCATTAGAGTCCAAGAATCAAATTATTGAGCTGGAAATTAGGATAAAAGGAACACTTCAAGGTCAAAAATACAAACTCCAGTAAAAGTAGGAACTTTGGATGCTGTCCCAGTTTGATGTTCCTAATTTTGAACACACTTGTGTTTTAGTATGCAGCGAGCTGGAGTACAGACCACAGAAAAACTGACATGAATTCCCTAAGCTGCTGACACATCCAATCTCTGATCTATCCAAAGTGCACTAAACCATAGAGGCATGAAATTAAGTTTTTTGCCAAGTTTATTAAGCCGCACACTTAACTTCAGTGTGCAGCGGCTTTACCACTGTAAACATTTTAGATTTACAACTGGCAAAACAAATACACTTTTAAAATAAAAGTGATATAATTTTGTCTGATTGAAATGACAACATATGGACGAAACACATGAACCACACGATCCATCCATCTGTCTTTTAGGGTGGGTATGGGTGTAGCTGCTGTGAGGCCACCCACTGGTTAATGAAGATCTGTTTTGAAGCCTTGAGATGAGCGTTTCCTACGTCACCATTTTGGTTGCAAAAAACAAAACAAAAAACGTGATAAGCTCTGCTTCATGCTCATTGGCTCTTCAATACACTTCTATAGAAATGTAAATATTTCAGTAGCCACAATTATTGCTATCTGATGGCCTTCAGACAGAATGTAAGTTTTCTGCATTGACTTAATTTTTCCACTACTGTTGGTTTGTATGATACATCAATGATGCGTCTCGTCTTTCCATTAGTGCACCGTATTATGTATATTGTTTCATACTGCGCACAGCAAGTAATGCACATACCAGAAGAGCCAGATGACACTAAAATTTTCTTACCATTAAGGTGATAATTTAACATGCAGCCCTGTTAAAAACTAAGTTTGCCCGGTGATTCAGGGTTTTGTAGAACCATCTTTAACAGCAATAACATGACGTAATCACTTTCTCTCTGACTTTATCAGTCTCACACATTGTTGCAGAGGAATTTTGGCCCACTCTTCTTTGCAACTGTGCTTCACCTCATTGAGGTTTCTGTGCATTCTTTTATGCACAGCTCTCTCAAGGTCTCGCCACAGCATTTCAGTCAGCTTGACTTAACTTTGACTCGGTCACACCTTCTTATCCTTTTGCAGCTGTTGTGCTTGGGATCCAGCAGCGGTTTTTGATACGGGCGACACGGGCAGTTGCCCGGGGCGGCATCGTGGTGGGGGCCGGATTCATGGGCACCGATCGGTTTGCTATCGCTCATTTGCTGGGAGTAAGGGCGCCCTCCGTTTGCGAGGTGCGCCTGCTGCTTGCGGCACAGGGAGGAGAGGGCGGGGCGGCGGGGGATTCTCTGGCTGGCTGGAGCAGCATCTAATAACCAACTTGCAAAATAAAACAATAAAAACAAAACAACAAACACGAAAACATTATGATACAGACTTATAATTTGCACCGATGTTTTTTTGAAATTCTATATGCGAAAAGTGAGCGCGAGAGCCCTCGGTGCGCCTGCTCGCTGCTGAAGTCAAAGTAAACTTTATTGTCATCTCTGCTATATACAGTCCAGTATGTAGAGAGACGAGACGACGAGGCTCCAGTTACAGCAGTGCAAGTAAACAAACAATATATATAAGAAGAGTAAGAAAATAAACATACACTTTAGGACTGGGGGTAAAGGGATCAATAACAATTTAAAATTTATAATTTACAGTTTGATGATCTCACATACAACCCATCGAAAGGGGAGGAGAGACCTGCTGCTTCCAGATAGAGCACATTTCATTCATAATATTGTAAATCCAAGCCCATTATGTATTCATGATCTGAATCCTGGGTTGTGTGAAATCCCAGAAATAAACCTTAGACAAAGTGAATCTGTGAACTAAGGTGTAGGTGTGTTAGATCATGTTGTGGTGATCCTTGAGTTGGGGGATTTGTGTTCATACTGGAGTGCAAAATTAAAACCAATGGAAGATGGACAAGAAAAGTTCAAAGCCATCAGGTCCTCAGCTTAGAAAAAATAGAAAAGAAGAGGAAGAGAAACGAGCAAAAGATGCAGGTAAGCAGATGTGTCATTGGATAATGGCAGGTCATCCTGAAACAATCAGAATCAGAATCAGAATACTTCATTAATCCCTAAGGAAATAATGTGGGTTACAGTTGCTCCAAAGAGACATGGTAAAAACAGTAACAGTAACAGACTAAACTCCACCAGAGGGAGTGTTCGCCCGGGGCGCCAAACAGGCTAGGACCGCCACTGTTGGGATCATTATCCTGTTGCATGAGCCAAGCTTTAGTTGCCAGACAGACAGCCTTATATTTGATACTTTGGTATACTGTAGAGTTCATGGTTGACACAATGACTGCAAAGTGCCCAAATCATCATCCCTACACCACTGTGCTTGGCCGTGAGTTGGCATGTGGTAGGTGCTTGTGTTGACATACTGTGTTTGGTTTTTGCTAAAGTGGTCAAATATTTCCACTTTACTCTCCAGAAATGTTGTGGTTGTCCACTCCTGGGAATAAGTGTTAACACACACCTGAATGCTCGTAGAGGTGCTCACACTTGCTGATCATCAAACAGTAAGTTCAGCACTTAATTTCAGTGGAAGCAATAAAGGTGTACTTCGATTTTCTCAGGACTGGATAGAGGCCTGTGAGAAATTTCATTTTCACGTTACTATAAGTGGCCTCCTTGTAGCAGGGTAGAAGCTAGCTGTCCTCTAACCATCCCTGTGAGTAATCATGGCACCAACAAGCCTTAAGCAGTATAAACATGGATGTCTTACTCTTTACAATAATTTTCTTGTATTCAGTGTACAAGTGGGGCCTTCAGAGCATCTACAGCGTAATGCCACAAATTTAGAGCAGAAAAACAATTGTGTTATTTTTCCAGAGAGATTTTCTTCTTCCATCCATGGCATTGATTTTGTTCCCAAAGAAAGTTTACTGAAGCAGAGTGTACGTGCATCAAAAATGACCCATTATTCTTTTATTAAGACAACAATATTATCTCAACTGATTGAAGAAAGCCAGACAGCTGAATCCATGACAGTCTGCTATGAGCGAACGTCTGAAACAATACAAAGAAAAGCCGGCGTGCGGTTTCAAATCTTATCACTGCATCATGTAAATAAATTCAGAGTCAAACAATGCAGTCATCGCTGTCACCGGGCAATGGTCAGTGATGTTGACATTGCTGTCGACACTCAGTCTAATCTTTTATTTGCAGGGCTGTGATGCAGAAAACTAGCTGCGACTAACAGAATGGCCACAAAACAATCATGGTATCGTTGTTGACTCCACCCGAGGCAAACAAATGCCAATATATCTGTCAATATTTACTCCATCTGAAACTGTCCAGGAAATGAAGCAACAATTTCTTGTTTCTTGTTCTCTGAAAACATCAGAGTTTACAGACAGAGGAGACAATGGTTCACTCCGCGGTGAAGGGATGCGACGCGGTGCTGTTGCCCTTAAGACTGCCTTTTCACAGGGCCTCGACAGCCAACGTCTTGGAGGCAGGAAGGATATTAAAGCTTTTTCCCAGAGTTGACAGAAGAATACTGGGAAGTGGGTTGACCCTGTGATTTTGACCAAAAGCAATGTAGGAAGTGTGAGAGGGCCGTGCTTCCAAGCAGACGTGCGCTGTTGTGATGGGTGAAATGCTGGCATTGCACAAAGCAACTGTGGCTTTTCAAGGTTGATGTCAATTTCTAGCATTGTGTTATGGCAATTTTTTTTTTCTATCAACTACTCTTGACTAAAAATAACCCCCAAAGAAGTGCTATTGAGTGTGTTTCTGGCTGATGTTACCAAAGAAATTGACAACACTGCAAATGATATCCATAAAAACGCGTTTAACAGAGGAGATATCGCTCAGTTAGTGGCTAATTATTATGTCAGTGTGTTGCTCGGGGCACGCTGCTCACGTCACAAGTATATGAGTTGGCAACCAACCACACAACCAACGCTGCGTCTTTCTAGGGTGAATGTGCAACACATCATTAAAGCGTCATCATGGATCTACATGTCCTGGTCCTGGTGGCCTGAGGGTTGTTTTGACCTGATGACTTTACTTCAGCAACAATATTATAAACTGCAGGAATGAGTCAGGTGTGACTTTGTCATTCCCACCTATGGACATTCGCCAGGTGTCCATTGCATTGGGGGTTACCAAAGAAGGAAAAGATTTACTGTAGGTTAGACAGTGACACAGTTTTGCGTCTGTACACCACCACAGTGAATAAACAATCGACTGAAGTGCAGACTTTCAGCTTTAAACTCAGAGGTTTAACAAAAGCATCAATTCCTAACTTGTTTAGGAAGTTAGGATAGGAAGTTTCTGAAGTCTTTTAAAGCTTTCCTTTGGACATCAGCTGCTTTTCCACTCATTTTCATTTCAGTCATTGAACCTGACCAATTTCAGAGAAACGTGCTTTTTGTTTGTTAAGCCACCTTTTTTATGCTTGAATGACTGAAGCACAAAAAGGCACCTAACTAAAGTGATGAACCAGGAAAGCAAAATCCCAAATATAAATGGTATCTTGAGAAAATTTGTTGCTAGTTAGCTGAATACATGAAAATAAGA